GGCTCCAAATTTTCTTCAACGGAGAGTCTCCAGACTGATTAGCGAGTGAAACCTTGAAAGCTCGCGAGATCAGGATGGTCTCACAAGGCTAGAAAGAAAGTCCTTAAAAAGAAAAAAATTTGTAAAACTCCATTTAGAACACAAATTAAAAAAGATATGACAAACAACTTTAATAAAACATATAAACATGAAAACATCTAAGTTGAAAATATAAAATTGATAATTGCTAATTGTCAATATGAAAAATTCAGTCAAAAAAAAAAAAGTTGCAAATTTACTCCAAAAACCTTTGATTAAAAAAAAAATAAAGTTTCATTACTGGATTGATTTTTTTTATTTTAATATACAAATGTGTTCCATCTTTGCAACAATAATGGAACAAAGCTTCCTCCATAATAAACGAGCAGTTGTTTTTAAGAGTTTATAGAATTATATAAATTAACTACTGCCACTATTTGAACATTTAACTAAATACTGATGGTCAAAACACTGGAAATAAAGCATGATTCATAGATCTGCAGAATGCATTTGATGTAGACACAGAGAGGCTGTGCATTGCTGCAGGATCTGGGCTTTACATCATGGAGGTGCGTACACACCATTGCAAGCTTCAGAAAAACCTGCAGGGTGGCTGCAAAATCTAGGAAGTTGTGAAAGATGATCAAAGTGAAAGGAAGAGAGGATGAGGAGATTCATGATGAGAGTCCCAGCAGGGGAGCCGGAGAGATGCAGAAGGAAAACAGAAGGAGAGATACGACAAGAGAGTAGAAATTGACTGAAGCGCTTATAGAAATGGATGAAAGACATAAACTTTTATGGTGTTAGAGAAGATCTAGATGCACTGTAGTATAGTTTAATGTTTTAATTAACCTTAAATTAACAAACATACTAGAGAAGGCCTGCTAGACAACATAATAATGCCTGATCAATAGATTAGAATAAACCACATGCTGTAGCTTCCCATGTTACTGACCTGTGCTATAAGATGCAAGTTAATGTCACTCAAGTTAAAACAAACTGGTGTTTTCTTTGGCGTCAGGTTTTTCTGATTGACTCTGATTTTTGTCGTTAGCTTTAAATGAATCTCTGGCTCCTTTAGTGCTTCTGTAATAAAATGCCATTCATCAGGATTTCAATGAGTGGATCTAAACTTAGCTGGAGCTGCTTGTTATCTGGCTAAATGAGGAGCCCCGTCATTTATGACACAGCATGTGAGCAGATGCTGCTCTGTTAGGGAGAATCAAACAGAAGAGCGTCTGCTGAGGAGGCCTTATCAGGAAGTCAGAGGCAGTTTCATCATAACTGAGCAAGTTTAAGATGACAAAGAGGTTCTGAGGCAGCAGGAGTCATAATCCTGTGGTATTTGGGTTTTGATTGTCTTTTGCTCTTTATTCTTGGTAAAGTTTTGCTGTATATTTTTGATGCTTTTTGTTAGTTTCTTTTATTTTTGTGCTCTTTTTTCTTTTTAGAATGTTTATCACTGTTTATCTCCTTCTCTTGACAGTATCTGTGAGTTCTAGTTCTGCTTATTCTAATTAGTTAGTCTACCTCCTTTAGCTACCCTGCCTTCTGTCTCAGCTGGGTTTACTCAGTATATATGCTCACCTATTCTCATTGTTCTCGGCTGGATTTTTTTGTTCGTCAGCTGTTCTATTTCTGATTATTCTCTAAGTGTAAAACCACCTTTTAGTAACTTTTTTATGTATTACAGAACTTGATTGCATTTGAGTAGATTATCCAGATCAAAGGATTTATCCTTTGAAGCCGACTCCAATTTGAGACTCGGACTTGGATGAAGTCCCAAAAGATAAAAGCCTTACTGTGTTAAATGTTTGAGATTTGACTTCGATTCCTGTTCTGAGACTCACATCATAGTAAGGTTTTTATCATCACGTGAAGAGTTAAAAGGAAGAACTAAAGCAGCTGAAATGTGGTACTGTGAAAGGGTCAGCTCAATTATTAGCCAATGACTTTGGTGGATTATTATGGGATGCTAATAATGCATAATCTGTCCATCTGTAGCTTCATAATAACGACTTTGGATAATTTCAGAACAAAATAAATATAATGTATCTCTCTCTGCTAACCTACCAGCAACAGTACAAACTTACAGCTGGAGATATCAAAATAAAATTGCCTCCTATTTTGTAATTCAGAACTTTAACTCAAATAAATTACTAACTAGATTTTTTCTGGTTTATTTTGTTGTGATTTATACCATAAAACTGGGCATTGTTAATACTAAGAGGGTCATAGAATGATTATATAGGGTATTTGGTGCTGGTCCTGAAGCTCTCTAAATAGGGTGTGTAACATTGGTTGGGCAAACCCGGTTAAAAGCCCTAGAATAAAAGGTTTAGATTGAGCGAAGCTGCTGAGCAAAGACGCATCATAGCAACAAGCACTCACTCATTGAAACATCCAAATTGTTGATATGGTAGGGTGACCAGATGTCCTCTTTTTCCCGGACATGTTCTTCTTTTCATACCTAAAAAATGTCCAGGGGAAATTTCAAAATCGTCCGGGATTTTGGTCGACTACAGTGCAGCAGAACCGAGCCGTGAGCTACGGGGCTGGTCCGGGAACACCGGCGGAAGGGGTCAGAGAGCCAGCGGAGAGTGACCAAACCCGACCCTGTGGTGCTAGCCTGAACACAGGCGCCCAGTGCTTTCCCCCGCCTGCCTTATCGGCCCCCAGCCCCCCCTCCTCTGGCTGAGGACGGGCGGCTAATGGCTCTCTGCTGAGGTCCGCTCCAGTCAGCGGCCCAGCAGTCAACACTTCATACCTGCCCCCCTGGGGCGTGACCAAAGTCCAGGCCAGAACCAAATAAGGTTACATCCCCACATTTATGTCAATTTGGAGCTTGGCTTAAATTCGCCCGTTTTATGGTGGAAGTTTAGAACTGTGAGATTTGCAGAGAAAGGATGTCGATCGTGATTGAACTTTTCTGTACGTCCATTTCATCCACTGAACTGTAGTTGTTCATCTATGACAATGTAAACTCATTTTTGCATTCTATGACCCCTTTAAAATAAAAATTATCTTTAGAATATTGTTTCCCAATAAAACTAGAACTTCTCAAGCTAAAACTGGGGAGGAGAAAAACCTCTAAATTACATTAAGTCCAATACATGAACCGTACAAAATAATGTGACAATGTTCCTATAATCATGTGTTAACTTAGTCATTGCAGGGAGTTAAAAGGAGAAATTTTTACTAGTTTATTTCATTTATTTCAGTTGTTTTGTAGAGTTTTTTTTTCATATATTTTTATATATATATTTTTATATTCCTAATTTTTTTCTATTTTTTTTCTAACATAACTTTGGATGCTGAATCATTAACAATAACTTATTAAAAGCATAAATGATAAATCATTAAAGTCTAAGGGAGAATTTAGGCTCAAAGAGAACAGGTTTAAACTTCTGACCTGCTAAATTGGTCTAAATGTTCTGGATTTTAGGAGATAAGAGACTTTAAACATGAATGAAAAACCTAAACTTGTAATTTATAAACATCTGGTTTATTGAAATAGGTTAGACAAGAGTAAGGAGTTTGTTGAGGGTTTGTTCTTAGATTTAGATAGTAATATCTAAGATGACAACAGTTTTAAATCCCATTAACTTAGTAGTCCAGAGTAGCAGTCGCTATAAAAGGAAAACAACAAGTCACTATACAGCCAATATCAGTTATTTATAAGCTCTGAAACTTTACTGAAAATTAAAGTTTTGTACCATCAAAAGTTCAGTGTTTTCTGCATCATTGAACTTCCACCTCCATGCCTCTGCAGGTTGGAATAATCGACGACGACATATTCGAGGAAGATGAGCACTTCTTCGTCCGTCTGCTCAACCTGAGGGTCGGTGACGCCGAGGGGATGTTCGAAAGCGATGAGGTGGGCACCGCCCCCAAAGCTCGCCTGGTTGAGCCCCTGGTTGCCACGGTGACCATCCTGGACGATGACCACGCCGGCATCTTCACCTTCAGCGAGCGCATGGTGCGCGTGAGCGAGAGCGTGGGCACCATGGAGGTGACAGTGGTGCGGAACTCAGGAGCCCGAGGCACCGTCATCCTGCCGTACCACACCGAGTCGGGCACCGCCAAGGCGGGGGACGACTACGAGGACGCGAGGGGGGAGCTGGAGTTCACCAATGACCAAACCACGTGAGTCCAATGAGTTTTTATCACAGATTCACAGGAGGAGGAGGGTCCACAAGCTCTGCTTCCTACTGCAGAATGCTGTTACTGTATCAGGGACTGGCATCCTGCTGTTTATACTAAAGGACCAGTATTTACAGCCTTTATACAGCAAGAATGTCAGGTTTGTGGAGGTTAGATGAGGACTCAAGTGCAGAGATGGAGGCAGCTGATGTTTTAGAGATTTAATAGTGGAAATGGCACTAAAACAGTACAAATCAGGAGTGAACAGGCACAGCAATCAGACCAGGGAGTCGGTCACTGGTTGACAATAAAAGTTAGATGTTCTAGTTCTAACACTTCAGTTTCTCTTCTTGCTATAACACTGAATATTTGATGCTCAGCAGGCTAAAAGTCCTGAAAATCATTTTTCCCATTAAGGTTTCACACCTCTTCATGTTAACTTTAAATGTTAAAACAATAAGATATTTCTGTTGAAATAACTTTCAACATCCCTGCTCTGTATTTTATGCCTACAACAATAACATGCAGGTTTTGCAAGCTGAGTTCTGTGTTTTGGTTGTTTCTTCCTCTGTTCTGAACCTCCTCTTCAGCCCTCCCTGTCCCCCGGTCAGACCCCTGCTGTCTCTATCCTAACCTTTGTTGCTGCCAGACAGCCGTCTCATCCATTATTCATCAAAGCTGACTTAAGGGAAGTCTCTGCACAGGTTGGAGGAACCCTCACAGATTTTGACTTTATATTGAATGTTGGCTGAATGAGTGATGATAGAGCAAATCCTGAGGAATCTTATTGTAAAAATGCTGCCAATTCCTCCTGAATAAATCAACTAAACATAGTTTTTAAAATATTTTTTCACTGTAGGATTTGGGCAGTGCAAAGAAATACAAATCTGTGTCCAAGCTGTTAGTCCCCAGGTACAACAGTATCCTAGTGAAAGTGAGTCAGAAAAGTTTAAAAGTAAGCCAGAAAAGGTTCAATGCTCAGATGTTCTGTTTAAAAATGTTTAAAAAGCAGCTTTAAGAAGACTGACTCTAACTGCCATGAAAAATATTTATACTTTTTGCTGTTTTGGCTGGATGAAGCCACCGCTGCAGGATCTAGCACACATCATTTACCCACAATGCATTGCAGCATAAACATAAACAATAACAATCCGTGTAACTGTAATTTATTTCAACTGATTAAGATAAAACTGCTTACAGTATTTTAAAGTTGTTGTTTTTACATTGAAAATAAATATTTATCAAATAAAGTCTAGTGTTACAGCTAGTGTTAACTTAGGGTGAAGTCTTGTGTTACAGCTAATCATGTAATTTAACAGAGAGCATTTGGTGGATATAGGAGAAAAATCTGGGAAAAACCTTTTCAGTCTGTAGTTCCTGTTATTGTCCTCAGCAGAGATTCATCATTAGAACAGCTTTATTTCCTTTATCTTTTATTTCTGATTAGTTGCATTGCTTTGGGCATAGAAGCCTGTAGGAGCTGTCCATGGTGCTAGAATCGTATCCGATTATACTTATGGAACATCAGTTAAATGGTTAAAGAAAAAAAATAATGCTACATTGAGTATGTATTTTTCTCTCAAAAGAACAGCCCATCCATTAACAAAATGTAAAATTTTATTGCTACCTAAGAGGCATTAGGTGTTGAAATCAACATCAGAAGCCGGTGTCTTCTCCCTACCTATCTCTCTAGAGTTCTTTTCTTGACACCGTTTAGTTTACTTTCAGCTTGTATGAGTATTTCTGACCTTCTGTGCATTAGAGGAAGGCTCCACTATAATTTGAAACTTATGTACGGAGTTCTTATTTGTAACGATAGCTAAAGTCGTATCTTCCCCTGCTCATCCTCGCCTTTGTTTCATCTGATCGGCTGATTTCTAGAATTTCCTCACCAAATATCTGCTCAGGATGACTCAGCTCTGATTGAATCTATCCATCTGATTTCCACTTTCACATATTTTGCACAATCACTCTCTCCGCTGTTTTTGCCGAGTTTCCCCTGTGGCTGTTGACCTGTTTTAAACTCCCTTTGCCTCCCTCCTTTCCTCCTCCTCCATCTCACTGCTGACTGTCAATGAAGGTTTCCCTCCAGGAATCTGCTCTCTGACGTGACATTTTATGTTTTCTTATCATTACTTCCCCTGACTTCCTCTTGTCTAATGGCGGCCATCAACACTCATGTCTTTTAAATATCCAACATCATTACAGGATAATAGCTGCTGTGTCTCGTCTCACGGAGAAACTCCTGTCTGTTTGTGTACCGTAAGATCTGCCAACGGGGGAGAACAAAAACCTCCATGTGCAGTTATTGGAATATTTACCATAACCTTTTCTGTCTTCTAGGATCTATTCTTTTTACTCTGTTATTGATTCTTTGTCCTTCCATTGTACTCTGCTCCAATCAGCACAGCAGCTGCCTGTGATCAGAGACAGCAGGAGATGGAAACCCAGCTCTGCTCAGAGCGTGGACCATTTTCACTCTGATAACGAGGAGCAACCTGCAGCGAGCGACCTGCTAGCTCTGCGTCATCACTTAATGAGAGGTTTTCACTGTATAATGAGTCTGACTTTTTACCTGTGTGTGTGCAGTCAGATCCTCCAGGTGAGGATAATCGATGATGAAGAGTATGAAAAACGCGAAAACTTCTTCATCGTGCTAGAGGAGCCACGCTGGTTAAAGAGAGGAATCTCTGGTGAGACACTTTTTGATTTATTGGATTTCCTCCTGTTCGCTGGGGAACTTTTATATGCTCATGGTGTTATGAAATGTTCAGTCTGATCAGCGTCAGAACATTTTATTTTATTCTTTCTTTTAGAAAAAGCACAAAAAACGTCCTGATTCTTAGCCCTTAATAAGGTTTGTGACTGATGTACTGATAAAATGCAGAATTTCTGACAGTTCTCTTCTTGATTGATGAATCGTTTTAATATTAGTGTCTCACAAAATTACAAAAGAACAGTGGGAACTTTTTTAACAACCTCTGATAGTTTTGTATAGGCCTTATCTTTTAATATTTTCTTCATAATTTTTCTGGGATTCCAAAAGTTTTTCTATGTTGATTGCTTTGTTTGTTGACCATGGCCCCTTCTTACAACAATCCTACCACATATCTTTAGGGTTATCCCATTCTTCTCGCCATAACTGTCTTAGACAGTGTCAGCATTCAGTTACAGACTAGAAGACCATAATACCAATGTGGCAGGGTCCTAGTTCCATGACATGATAAGCATGGCCAACCATGCTATAACATTTTCAAAATCAAGATATATAGTTTAAGTATCCTTGTCATCACACTTGACTTCACTTCACTGAACTGCTGCATCAACAATGAACATAGTTTCCTCATCTAAGAGTTGCAGAATGCCATCCCTTAAGGGCCGCTGCTCAAAAGATGAAATTCGCCCTCACTGTGTTTCAGTAGAAGTGGACGATGTTGTGACCTAAGAGTATCCCAGAACCATGACCCTGTAAAGGGCATCTGGGTGACTTTTTAAGGGTGCAGTATTGGTTTCAGTTAATGTAAAGTAACGCTAAATGATCAGGGGCTGATCCTTAAGTTTCTAAATAACGACCATTGCACATTTTTGTCTTTATTTTTTTGCGACGTGCAATACATTAGCGTGTTCCAAGTGATCTACAAATATTGCTGCACAAATGTAAGGATGCACAAACAGATTTGGTTCCACATATTAAATTGACCAGATTACTACAGGTTTGAAAGTGGAAGTAAAGATGAGGTTCTAAGCCATGTAGCTGGAGGTAATAATGCTGATTATTAAAAATAATGATACACCTGTGAAGGTTCTCAGTATTCCGGTTAATGGTCAGGCTTAAAAAAAGTTCAGTCTAGCCAACTGGATGTGAAGCTTTGCAGAAGACATTTCGCCTCTCATCCAAGAGGCTTCTTCAGTTCTAACTAGTCTAGAAAACTTCACGTCCAGTAGCCTAGACTGAACTTTTTCAAGCTGGAAATAAAGATAATACTAAATTAAACTTTTAGGACAACTCACATAGGTGGTCTAACTCAATGTGATACATAGAAGAGTAAAGCAAATAAAACAGAACTGTTGTAAATCATGCCACAAACATGCCGTCTTTTTTATTCCTCAATATTTCAATTCATTTTTGCTTCAACTGTAAGGCCAAAGAAACGAAGTTTACAGTAAATTGGCATTTTTTTTATGCATTTTTTAAATCTCATTGTAAATGCATAGAAATTGAGCTGCATATGACTAAAATTGAGCAAAGACGGGTTAAATTAGGGGAGATAAGTACAAATAAGATAAGACTTGATATGTAGGGTAGGCTAAAGGCAAAGGCAAATTGTCCTTCCTGTGAAGTTTTTGGGTCTTATTCGTTTACAGGAAAGAGACTTTTCTTTAGTACTTTAGGAAACAGCTGTATGGTGAAAAATTTATCTTTACTTTACTAAATTTAATTGTGATAAACTATGTCTTTGTGACATGATGCGTTTAACAAAGATATGTATCATGAACCCAGGTTCATCCAATGAAGTTTGGAGCCTTTTAATGGCTAAATGATTTAAAGATCAGAGTTAAGTGCTGTAAAACCAATAAAAAAAAGTATTTCTGAAAATGATTAGACACTGGGCTGAACACAAGAGCTCCAAACCCAAAGAAAACCATCAAAAAGACTGAAGAACTATAAATACAATCCTCTTTATAACCAGACGGTATGGCAGGAACAGCTAAGAATTTGGGAGATTATATCCTTACTTTTAAATTTGTTCAAAAGTTTTCAAACTGGACCATTCTTTTTTTTTTTATCATGGTTTAAATAAACTTTAATAAATGACCTTGTTAGAAACAAAACAGCTGGTTAGAAGTGAGCTTTAGATGTCTCCCTTTTTTAGATTTATTTATACTTTTTCTTATACTGTACCAGTTCTTATTCCCTGGTCCTCTTCACCATTAGACTGGCTATACAGTCATTTTCTTTCAACAAAATATGATTCTAATACATTAGTTTATTTTTTCATGTTAAAAAAAAATATGAAAAAAAGTCATTTTAACATTTCAGGATTTTCTGGATATATTAATTTCCATTGTCTGAGAGCAATAGCTGTAAAACAGGAAAACTTGAGGCGCTTAAAAAAAAAATTATTATTTTTTTTTTTTGATTTATTGTCATTTTTTAAATTTTTAACTTTTTATACAGGTGGATTTTTTAAGAGAAGCTTTAACTGATGACTTTTCTGTTTTGTTTTTTTTCCTCAGCACTGCTGCTCAACCAAGGTAAGAGCTTCTGAATCTTCCTTCTGAAGGTTTAAACCTCATTAGATTTTTCAGGAAATGCATGTTTGACTTAATCTTCTAATTATTTCCGTATCAACCGTATTATATTCATATAGAATGTCAGAAACACGATGAAAGAGGCTCTCTGCCGTTTTGAAAGGCTACAGATTAGATTTGCTTCATGTCCTCCGTTGTATTCTGTCTGCACCCCAGCCCCCAAAAATCCACATTTAATCTGGTAAAACTGGCCTAAATATGCAATTATCAAAAGAGAAAGATATTTTTCTCAGATTAAAGGGGCTAGATGATGAATTCAGACTGACTCAGCTCTCTTTCCTCCTGTTTGCGCCTTCATCTGGATGTTAATTGGATCCAATTTTACATTTTTTCTTTCGGCTTTGGGTTTTTCTAGCAGTTTCTCAGGTTTCCTGCTCAGTCAGGTCTCTTCCTTTGGTTCGCTCTTCTCTTCATCACTTAAACTTTTCCACTAAAATGGGCATGAAGATTCGTCTGCTGCCACTTAAGTTACACAACACAAACCTGGAGCCGTTGATCTAATGAAGCCCAGGTTGGGATTAGTGTATAAAAAATATGTAGTATTGAAAAGAAAGGAATATATATACATGTTATTTAATGATAACAATTATTGGCCATGACATTAATTATAATATTGGATATTTATATTGTGAATCCGAGCAAATATTTATACTTTCTTACATTTTTTCTTTATGTTTGTCTGCATAAGTTTAGAATCTCTTATAATTAAATTTTTGTGATAATTTTTTTCTTCTTAGCATTCGTTTAATACAGAATATGCACATATATACACTTTATTTCTGACTTTTTTCCTTCTCTTTTTCAAGAGAAGTTTTATAAACATTATACACTTATCAACATTTTAAAAAATACTTAAGTATAATTTAAAGTTTTTCACTTTGTTGCAACATCCTTATTTGTCAAAAAAAAAGATTAACAGATTTTTTTTTTTTTAAGCCGTTATAATTTTTCTGGGAATACAACACAAGGCTTCAGTTCAAAAGTAGGAAGTCAGATTCAGAAATATCTTTTGTGATTTGTGGATTCTTTAAGACTCCTGTTTGAGCAACAAAAGGTTAGTATGTTCAGATGTTGAAATAAAAACAAAAAACTGCAGAATAAAAACTCTGAGGGAGGAGTTTGGATTGTTAAAATGATGAAATATGTAGGAACCTCGCGAAGTTATGGAATGCAAACATCTTCTGTTTCCAGAGTTTCTGCAGTAATAAATAATTTTTAAAAAGCTCCAGTGTGCCAATATTACAGGTAAGAGTACCCAAAAATTGTATTAAAGTAAGAGTAGCACTACTTTAACAACTTTTTCCTCAAGTAAAAGTAAAACATTATTCATTCAAAAGACTGCTTAAGTACTGAGTCACTGTTGGACACTAACATCAGATTTATTGTCTATAAATGATGCTGGCAGATTGTATGTACTAAGTCTGTATGTACTAAAGATTAAAATACCTAAAGAATACAAATTAATGTCATTAATATATAAGAAGAAATGTGTGCAGAAGAAATACTTTTAACATTTATTATTACACAAAAAAACTATGAAAACCAACCTGTACAATGAGAATTGTAAATATATTAGGATAAGGTGACGAACTTCCTCTTTTAATATCTATTTACTGCATGTTTACCTGATTTTGGAATAGTTCTAATTTCTCTCTTGCAGAACAGAGTAGTCTACTCAAGTATCAGTAGCAATACATTACAAGAATATTTCCCAAGTAAAAATTAAAAGTATGGGACAGCGAACCTAGTCCTAAAATTAAATCATTTTCAAATTGTTACTCAAGTAAATGTAACTAATTACTACCCACCTCTGGGTTTTATTGCTGGTAGTTTATGGATAAATAAATAAACTACACTTTATGTCAAAATAAGCACTTTAAGAATACATAGAAGGGACACTTTTTAAACGTACCACATCCTGTTGGTTTAGTCTGAAGCGGCTGATGTCTGAGTTTAGTCACAAATGCTTAAAGTCAGAAAAAAAAACAATGCAAATGAGAAAACATCCTTTTGCAAATTAAACAGAATCAAAGCAAAATTATTACTGGCAGTAAAAGCCCTTCATCTATTTAAATAAGAAATAAAAAAAAAACTTTCCAGGGTTTTACTTTACACTCAGCTAAAATATGAAACATCCAATGGAATTCCAATGGAACGGGGAAAATGATTTTCTGCTTGAGCGTTCATCCAAACAGCTAAATCAACAAATGAAAGCTTTGTTGCAGTATGTAAAACATAGAGGCCACCTGCAGAGGAAAGAGGGAAGCCATCTTCTTAAAGAAATTTAAATAAATGTCAAACAGAAGCTGATCAGGAACCTCAAAGAGCTCCTAACTCCCCCCTGGTGATCATAAACCCTTTTCCCTGTGTTATACTCTCTGACTGGCTCGGGATTATTTCTCTAACAGGAGGTGGGGTTGGTTGGTGGCAGAGGACCAGTAACACAAACTGGGCCACCAGATGACAGATGGACTGAATGACTGGGAGCATGTGTGAGCGCAGCAGCCAGTCCTTTGGGCTGAAACAGTTGCTACTTCTTGCTCTCCTCAGCAGGCATTTCCCTTCCAGGCTCTGTTCTTGTACTTCCACCATAGTTTCTTTTTTCAAATCTTGTCTTTTCTAAGATTTATGGAACTTTTGTTCCTTTAAAGCCTCAGATTATCACAGCAAAACACTGAAAAGAAAAGGAAAGAACGCATCCAAACAGCTCACAACAAAATTACTGAAGCTTTGGATTCATTATTTAACATCAGATTTCGGAGCCTGAAAAAAAACCCGATTTTTGGTTTTAATTAATTTAAAGGTTTATTTGAACTAAAATGACCCATCTATCTATTCATCCCTTCATTATTTATACATCCATTTCTTCATCCAACCATCTGCCTTCCATCCATTTATCCTTCCTTCCTTCTATCATCCATCCTACTATTTATCCATTCATTCATCCATC